TAACTACACCAAGAGCACTGAAGGGTCAACTTTACCTAGTAATGACTTTATTAACTTTTGTGTCACAACTAGAGATGGCACGATACCAATACCGATATCATAAATTTGGATATCTGCCAATACCGATATGAATCCGATATAGTGTGTTTTTAATTAATAAAACTGTTTTTTAATACCTTGCTGCATTTTGTATAAGTTCATACTCAAGTTTAAATAAACAACAACACTAAAGCTATTCTGTTATACCTGTATGTAAAAAATACACTGCACCCAAAATATTTCATAGCAATACTGATCAATCTAATAAACTTAAACCTACTCCATCCTTCCCATTCTGGTATTTTAAAGAGTACTTAGCAGAAATATTAAGCAACCTAACTAATAGGGTTGCAAACTCCCAGCAAAAAAAAATAGGGAACCACCCTCCACCTCATGATGCTTAATCAACATAATCAACTTTAATCTGATGCAGTGTGAGAAAAAAAATGCACAGAAATAAATTATTTTTCAAGAATAATTAAATAGATTCAACATCTTTCTTCTACAGAATTGGAGACTGCACAGATGGTATCTTCCCAAAGGAAAAAGTAGTATTAGACTTAATAGTTACTATATACAGTAATGGACTTCTATATATTGGGTGTAAGATTCAGATAATCATTTATTAAAAGCTAGACATTTTAAATGAGAATAAGAAAGAAAAGTATGTCTTTGTGCCCCCCTTTTCCCTGTTAATGCCCTATCGGCCCCCCTGGCTAAACTTTGCTAGATCTGCCCCTGCACAGTTACCAGGTCAGCTACACAGAAAAGGATCCTGCTGTAGAAAGTAATGTTAAATAAATTCTAACAACAGCTTATCAAGCTTAAACGTGCTGCTGTTGTGCAGCCGCTGGCTTCCTCTTTCTGGCGCAAAGTGGGCCAAAAACAAAGGAGAGAGATCAGCTGATCATTAATCAGTTTCACATTGAAGTAACAACAGGAGAGGGAGGAAGAGAGAAGAGCCATTCGCTCCATATATCGGTTGTTAAGCTTAACGGAATGCTTTACAAACATTCAGAGATGAACTTACACACTTGCTTTACTTCTCTCTGGGATAACTTCCTCGGAGATGAAGTGCTGGTTTGGTAGCGAGACTCCAAATACACACAGCCGCTCTATCACCTGACCACACTGCTCCGATGTGCCACGGTTATGAGCCGAGTTACAGTGAGTAAGTTTTGTGAGGTGCTTTTTTGATATTTAATGGATCGGATTACATTTTTTATTTCTCTCAGATATCTGATCCAGTAATTTACGTCACTATCGGACCAATACCGATACTTAATATCGGATCGGTCCATCTCTAGTCACAACACACTGTGTGGTACACAGTCATGCCACAGAGGTGTCATTAAAAGACAGAAACTTCTGTAAATGGTTATATTTACTTCACTTTTTTCCCCTCTAAACTATTAATGTGTCTTTTAGATCCCATGCTTACAACACTGGTTAAAGACGTGATACTATAGATTAATTCTTTGATATTAAATATGATCAGTTACAAGTCTTCATAGGGCCTCTGACAGTGAACTCTGTATTTATCCTGGTAGACCACAGAGCGACTTTCGAAACAGTTAATCACAATATATTATAACATATCATACCTGTGATGTGATACGGAGATTTGAACACACCATTTGCATGAAAGAATATCCACTGCAATGGTTTCAGTCATGTCTATCTGATATATTCCTGACATGTGAAAATAAGATCCCAAAGTTTCAAAGGTTTCTGTGATTGGGTGAATACTTTTTGAATTACACATACATTTTTGTCCACTTCTAGAATCAGACAAACTGTCTGCTACTGTACCAGGTCCTAAAAATGGCATTACCTTGGCCTCCAGTAGCACTGTGAGGAATCTTATTCCCTTCCTCACACACATAACAGCAATATGTAGACCTGCTTTCTTTCATCTGTGAAATAAATGTCATACTCAGTTTAGTGATGCTGATGTCACTCCTCTCTCTATGACATAAAAACACCAAAAACAATAGATTAGTTTCCAAGAAAGAAGAAAAAAAAGAAACACATTAGATATTGACCCCCCTCTCTTTGTATTACGAGTCGGGGTTTTTTCTCTTCTGCAATAAGGGGGAAAAAAATCACCACTTTCCTTTTTTACTTTCCACTAGGTGTCACTGTTCTTTTAATTTTCACTACTTAGCTTCAGTCTTCTAATCAGAACATTAGACATGCTTCTTGTTTCAACCGTTAACATATTGTGTTGGGCAGAGAGTGTCTAAGTTCTGCCAATTAATTTAATGGAGTCATTTCCACTTTGCACACTTTGTTTGTTTGTTTTTTAGATGACAATTATAAACCAAAACTTTAATTTTACTATATTTAACTAGCTGGTTGCTTTAATGTTTAACATTCAACATGAGATAATCACTGCTCTGAAAAAAAAATATCTTGGATCTCCAGACTACTAGTTTTAAAGTTTTAAACATATATATATATATACAAGATAGATAGCATTTCAAACCTGAGTACAATAAACAAATGTATTTATATATTTAAAAAATATCTTTTGTTTGTTGTCACTATAAGATATAGATACTTTCTAAGAATTATGTACTTTTTATTCAGGAGCCTGTGTATTTGATGAAGGACAGCTGAGCTTGGACTGGTGATGATGCAAGCGGCAGAATTCTGGATAAGTTGATGGAGAGAAAGACAAAAAAAATGTTTTACAGTAATTAATGCAAAAGAAATGAAGTCTCAATATGGCAAAATTCTTCTTTTTTTAATGTCATGCCATCATGTGCATTAATATGCTGACATGTAACTTAACTTATATATTTGTAATTACACTTCCCTAGAAATATAATTATCCTATCATGAAACAATGATTAACATCTGTGCCACATTTCCAGCACTTTGCTGAAGAACTTCAGTAGTCAGCTTTAACGAGAATATTGGGAGATACCAACAATTACTTTTTGACATTTCTTTTCCAGACCTTTACTTTTACTTCTGTCTTCTACTGAGTTAGGACACCACATCCTCTTGTAGTGTCACAACCTTTGTTTCAGGCTGTGAGAGAATTATTTTTAACACATTCTTTGTGTCACACACCTGTTGAAAGACGAATGTTTTTTGGTTTGTTAAAATGTTACAAGATGTTCTGAAAAGGCATTACTGACAGTGAGAACATTGTTAAACCAGCATTGATGTTCAACAGTGAATGCCTGTGAATGTTTTACTGTCAGCTAAACACAGTCTATATTGTCCTTGGCTTGTCAGTACCCTTAAAAGTATGTGAAACTGTACCAGCATTGGAGATGGTGTTTAAACAGAGTTTGACTGATTGACAACAGCTGTTCAGCAGGATATTTTAAATATTTCAAAAGACATTTTTTAACCCTGTCTCACACTCACAAATGTATTTTAAATTTTAAAAAGTATTTAAAAAAAAAAAAACTACAAAATGTGTTGGTAGAGCAGAATCCAACATGTGATAATATAGAAAAAGAATACTTGATTGTGGTTAATAGACCCCCCTGGTGATAGCTTTCCTTAACAAAACACTTAACGTCTACCTGTGTTTCTCAGCAAAAAGGAGGTGAGGACAAAAGGAATAGGTGAAGCAATGATGGAGGGAATAAAAAAGAAAAAGGAACAACAAACAACCTACTGTGAAATAAAATAGATCCCAGTTAGAGAACAGGTCACTGAAAAATACATGCTTTTGATTAATGTCCAAAACAAAGATGATATGAACTTTTTTCCTAGCTTCATTTTAATCTAAGCCAGCCTCTATGTGTCCTTTTCTGCTCTAATTGAGCACTCAAAGCACTTTATCAAACATACATCATTTCCCCATTCACACAACCACAACACAGTAACTTGAATTACCTTATTATAAGGTTACTAAAACTTTAAAGGTCAAATCAATATCTTCAGCACTGTAGCTGGCTGACAGTTAAATCTCTCTAGAGCCTTGTATTCCTTTATAGCTCAGTTGTGACAAAAATAAATGTCTTTACAGTTAAACTGTTAATAAAAAAGTTAATAAAAAATCCTACTGCTGTCCTAGATGCACTCAAGGGCAACAAATTGAGGTTGTTTTTTTTCTTGTGGTGTTGAGTGAAAGAGGAGTGGGTGTTGGACCAAATATCTGGATGCAATGTGGGTTCCTAATAAGACATCAAGTTGGCAAGAGGAACTGGTTGATCTGCATGCTTCATGAATATAACGCAACAGCTCACCAGGGCGTTTCACACTGACTCTCATCCAAAAATAACAAACTCTGCCTAAAAAATAATCATATTAAAAAATCATATAAAATAGCACAACATACCAGACAGAAGTGCATTACAAACACAACATAGGAGTAGTGGACATTAATTAATGGACTTAAAATGCTATTTTATTGTACAAAAAAGATGCTTCTGAGCATCATTAGGGCTCAGTCTTAATAGAAAGTTTTTGTTTTTTTTCAATAGATACATATAAAAATCACAAAAGGATAATTTACTTACTAGACCCTCAAAAACAGACCATCGAATAATAAGGACCATTTAAGAAACGGCACCATATCAGAATTTCATAATCTGCTTATGTTTATCAGAGAGATCGCAATATAAGATAAATGAATCAAAATAGGGAATCAAATCTTGTGATTGGGAACTGGCTTTTGTGTGTCCTGCTACATTAAATATAACCTATAAAACAATACACTTGATGTGTTTGTGATTTTTGTTTTTTTAAAGGAGTTAAGCTACATCTGTGAAATGCAGGAGCCTGTGTCCATATTTCTCTACTAATTTGTACAGCGCTATGATTCCCTGATGTTACAATCATTAATCACTCATATGATTTCTTTATAGATATTTTTAGACGATATACCCCAAATAGATGTTAGAGATTGACTTTGACATTGGCCGGAGAATCAAAGAGAGATCAACAGAAACTGAAACTTTTTTAAAGCTATTTATTCAGTGAATGCAATCTTGATTTCATAAATGTACATCAAACAATATTGGATGCCACTCATGTTATTTATTAACCTCATGCATGGATATCATATAGCTATACCTTCTACAGAGCATTTAACCCTTTTTAAGCTTCATTTTTTAAACAGTTATCGTAAATATGATACTTTTTTAACAAATTTTAAACTAGAAATAGGAAACACAGAGTTTAATAATGTGTATCCATTTAGAAATTAGATGATCAGCCACAGAAATATTCACTTGAAGACATTCCCACTGATTTAAATATAAATTATACAGCAGAATGGAAAGTGATTTAAAATAAATGAGGCATCAAATTTTGAAAATTATAGTTCTAAATCATTTATGTCTAAACTGATTTTACATTTAGAAAATTAACATATTTTATTAAATGACAGCTGCTTAATTTTACACCAGATTAAGACCCCACGCTTGAGTGGTTCTAACCGTCGTTATCTGAACCCAAGACGGTCTGGAACAAGATGATTCTCTGCAACAGTTCAGCCATGAAGGTCACGTTGTTAGCGAGGTATTCATTGTCATATATGGCTTCATGCTGCTGCAGAATTCGCTGTGCCTTCTCAAACATTTCATCGGTGTAATGTGTTTCTCCATTTGCTGCCACCATGTCATCAATTTTTCTGAACAGCTCAACAACCTGACCTCTGTTCCAGATGTTTTTGTTATCGAATACATGGTACCTATTACCGCACCTGTTCAGCAGCTCTCTGAGCTTCTGGTGGCCAGTTCTCAAATAGTTATGTATGGTTATTTTCTTATTTGTTAGTTTGTCACCATGAGTAAACAGAATCATCATGTAGTTTGATGCGTCAGGTCCAAAGAGTTTCTCCAGGGCATCCACACAGTTTTCTTCTTCTTTGGTAAACCTGCCAATCTGAAGGACCAGGAGGAAGACGTGAGGGCCGGGAGTGGAGATCTGGATGCATTTCGCGATTTCTTTCTTTATACTGTCTGCAGTCTTAGATGTATCCAGAAGGCCAGGTGTATCTACCAACTTGACATTTCTAGTGCACTCAAGTTTAACTGCCTCACAGTGCACTGTCACTGACTCTGAACTCTCATTAGCCTTAAATGTTTCTTTGCCAATAATGGTGTTACCAGCAGCACTTTTCCCGACACCAGTTTTCCCAATGATCACAATCCTCAGTGGGCAGCCTACAGAAAGAAATATCTACTGTTATAATTGTGTGGATCACAAGCATAATCTTAACAGTATTAAAAATTCAACGTGATATTTGAAAAACACGGGAAATCAAAATAGAAGATCTAAGTTTACCATCAGGGATTGATGAACTGTTACCCATCTCTGCTCTTGGCTCTTTGGCAAATGAACAGAAAGCCGCTCTGAGTGGTTTGATTTGTTCCCTGCACTCCTCCCACTGGGTGGACCTAACTCTCAGTCTATATCAGCAAGACTGCAACTGAATTCAGATTCTGTTGAAACCTGCACGTGGTTCATCTTTAAGCAGCTGACAAGATGAGTTCTGCTGGTTCTCCAAGTAAGCAACTCTTCCTTAATTAATTTTGTCACATTTATATACCCCCTTCATATTTCCATAAAGATATGAGAAATTATTTAATCTTGAACACGAGAAACTATAATGTTACCTTAAATCTTTACCTGAAGAAATATTGATTTACTAATATTAACAATGTTCTCAAGTTATGTATCATATGAGACAGAGACATGAAACTTTGGAACAGTGTAACTGAGATTAAATAGGAGAGTATATCTGCAGATTGTTGTTGTCCGACTCTTGTCCAATACAAAGTTAGTTGGAACAAATTATGCTCTTCTTAACAAAGAATCTTTCCCAGTGCTGTTTTCTTTTAGCTACAGACACACCCTTGGTTAAATATTTCTTCAGAATTATTCAATTTTTATTTTTTTGCCTTGTTCCATTGGTATGTGTGAGGGGATCTTTGGACAGTACTGGGAGAAAAAATACCTCTTTGTAGCATTGTTGCTGGATTATTGGAACACTGTGACATGACCATTGAATTGTCAGTGAACAAATTGCTCCTATCTTTAATTCCATCCTTCATTTTAATTGTAATCACACACCTGGAAATTGTAAAGTGAAAAGTATACAACATTTTGAAAAAAATACTCTTGCCTTTTGCTTCTACAGATCACCCTGTCAAGACTACAATCATTCTCTTTGGAAAGAAGGAGAGCTTGCAGAAGAAAATCAAAAGTGAAATCTTCAAAAATCAGAGAACTGTTTCCAAATTATGTAATGACTTTTTTGTGAGCGAGAGCGAATCATTCAAAATCATAAGTACTCTAGATGTTTTGGATGACAAATATCTGGATCCAGATCAGAGGATAATTGATTTGATGGCACTTTCTGATTTTAGCCCTGATCTGTTAATGTTGGCAATAGATTCAGAGGATACAGGGCAAGTGGAAAAAGTACATGCTCAAATCGACAAACTTGAACATATTTTTCAAGGAACTGTCATAAAACACTTAGCCATCATAATAGATAATGGCAAGAACAAGAATAAACCCAACCTGAATCATGAGAAGGTATTCTATATCCAGGAAGATGTGAATAAAAACCTGCCTGATCAGTGTAAGGAATGGTTAACTGATCAGCCGCTCCAGTTTAAAACTGAAAACTACATTCAAAAAGCTGTGAAACGAAGGAAACAATATTTTGAAAGCATAAGGTAAAACGAAATTCCAGCTTTTTTTCAATTGGATAGTCATTCCTATTTTCTTTACAGCTAGCTTGTGTTTGTTTATTTTCTCATAAGTTGTTTCTGAGAAAAGAAACGTTTCGATCATGTAGTTGCAATACCAATACGTAATAACACTTATAGGATAAATGCTTCTGATGTCAGTTTTATTAAAATAACAAAACCAGTGCAGCCTTCAGTAAAAGTCTTTTCCTAAAATAAAACTATAGTAACGGCAATCACCTTCAGCATGTAGAACAATTGTTTTTAATGTAGCCTAATGCTACAAGCAATCTACTAGACAGCCTGTCGAAGTAAGACAATAACTCAGGAAGAGGAAAATCCAGTTTAAGAGCACAGACAGCAAATGTTTTAGGCATCTTGTAATAAATGGAAAAAAAATGCTAACAAAAACAAATTTGGTCCCACATTATTTTAAAAAAAAAGTTGTTTTTTTTCTTTTTTCCCCACCAAGTGACTTAAATAAACAAAAGTAAATTCACACAGTCTCTAGATCAATCAATGACCCCTGTGCAACCACCAGTTGCTAGGAGAAAATGTGTATTCACCACCCAGTCTGTGAGTTGTTATAGGCTACTGATACCAACTTATGTGCAAACTAGACAAATTTTGTCTTGAGAAGGAGGGAACTGTGCTGTACTCTATACCTTTATGCAATGGCAGCCAGCATCCTCCATACTCCATAGTTTTCCCTAGCAACCAAGGGGTTACGGAGCGAAATTAGTTATACAGATGATTTACATTTTAAATATCTTTTTCAAGGCCCCACAACAATATCAAACCATTTTTTGTATCACAACGTGCTAAAATCAAATGTATTGCTATATCCCTAAAGCATGCAGAGAGACACACACACTTTGCTTAAAACACGTGGAACCACCTTTGTAACCTAAGAAGGGCAGACAGCCACAATCACTTCATACACTTCAGCTGGTTCAGTGGTGCAGTTTAATCTTACCAGGTGTCTTTAATCCTGAGAAAACTAAACATTTTTGTGCAGCTCCAGTGGGAACAACTTTAAGATGTTCAAATTATGTCTTAAGGGGGGATTTTTTTCTAAATTTTTACTAGAGTGAATAAATACAAATGCTGAGTACTGTTGTAGTTCTGGTATAGCAGGGTTGAGTCTGTAAAAATTGTAAAAGTATCGAGTAAGCTCTCGAAGGTTAGAGGCTATAATTTAAAATAGAGTTTATGTGTATTTATGTTTTTTATTTGAGGAAATCCACTGAAAACACAAGCTAATTAAAAAAAATATTTTTCTTGTGAAATTTGAAGTTTTGTTGTTGAAATATATCTTATATCTGCAGTGATTATAATTATTATTTCAGAAATGAATGTTCTCCTGATCACCATGGGGCAAGAGGTGAGTCTGGTATCCAAATATGAGTGTAGTTTTTCTAAGCCAGTTTTTTTTAACTACATTTTATGATATAATAAACAATTACACTAACCCTAACCCAGGAACTGAAACCACCATTGTTCTTCTGGGAAAAAGTGGAACTGGAAAGAGTGCATCTGGAAACACTATCCTGGCTGCTGGAAACTCCCAGATGGATTCAACTTTTGAATCTCGTCCGAGCTCCACACCAGTCACCAACAAGTGTGAGGAGAAGAGGGCACAGATATTTGGGACACAGATTAGAGTTGTTGACACTCCAGATTTCTTGAACAACGAGGAAGATGTAGACAATGCACAAATAGAAGAGTGTAAGAGGTACTGTCAGGAAGAACAGTGTGTTGTGTTACTTGTGATACAGCTCGGCAGGTTTACAGAGGGCGAGAATGAAATATTACATAACCTGGAGAAACATCTTCAGAGGAAGATCAGGGAGAAAACAATCCTCCTGTTTACACATGGCGAAGATTTCAACGGTGATTTGACTGAGTTTATTGGCGAACGATCTCACCTCAAGTACATTGTGGGAGCTTGCGGTAATCGTTGCCATGTATTCAAGAACACTGTTAAGGACTCTAAGCAAGTCCTTTCGCTTTTCATGAGCATTTCTAAAATTGTTCCAAATTGCACACCAAAACAGCCTACACCGTGCTCTTTGTTTTAGTGTTTGCTGACTTACATCACAAGCCCAACTAACACATACATGTTTGTATGGCAAGTAAGCGTGTAATCTTCTGAAATTCTGTGAACTTCTTGTATACACATATAATGTGACATCTCTTTAATTACAGCATTTGTAATTTCAAGTACTTCTACTCTATGTGATTTATAGATACTTCTTTCACTTTTCAACTTTTGGGGAAGTTTTTAAAAAGAGAAGATTTTTTTAAACGGTCTAGATAATATAAGAAAAGCTTATTTTTATGTTTTGCTGTGGAATGAGGTGTTTTAAGACACAATGTTTATGGGTAAAATAAGATGTTATAGCCATGTTTATATCTATATAAACCAAAAGACAAATGTATTAAATAATAAACTCAGCAATAAAATATAAAAAAAAATACCTTGGAGTCTAGTTATTGAATGTCTGTGTCAGTCTGCTTCTATTTAGCTGCTGCCCTGTTGTGTAGATTTAGTCTATAAACCACATCATTTTATGATTACCTGTTATTATTGGTATCTGATCACATATCACAGTTTGTATGTTTAAAAAAAATGTTGCCAAAACTTGGAAAAAAAAAATCATCAAAATTTGTAACAACTTTTTTTTTCTTTTGCCTGTCCCGTTTGGCTCTTTTGCCATCAGAATTATTGTCTAAAGGCGAAGAACGGGTTTACTTTACCAAATGGACCATCCCAGCCTTGCCGTAATGGTCTATTTGATTCACCTTTTATTGTTTATTTAATTTTATTTTCACCTGCTAAATACAGGACAGACTTGACTGGGGAAAAGAAAGGGGAGAAAGAAACAGGGAAAGAAAAACAGCGGGGAAGAGGAACGATGATAAAGGGCAAAAAACAAAAAACAACAAAATAAGCAGACAAAAAAATACATATATCAATCACCTGAATCACCTGTTGAGAAAGAAAAAAGAGAAAACAAGCAGAAGAAAAA